ATATATATATATATATAATCTCCTAAAATTCTGTTCTGGCTTTTGGCTTTGGTGTGCCACCTCAAGATTTTTAGTGGCCCCCACATACATAGTACCCACATAAAAAAATCCTGGAGACGCCACTGTGTTCTTTTGTGTAGTTCCTGATTTAATTCAATACGTACCTTGGTTCTTTTTTTTTATTTTAAGTCCGTTAATCTGTCCAAAAAAAAGCGTGCACCGTAACCGTGAATAATTACCCTGACAAATGCACTACAACCTGCTTCATGTGCGGTTATTAGCAGCGGTCCTGTAGTCCCGCACCACCACCAGCAGGGGGCGTTTCTATTTTCCGCCACGTCGGTTCCTCTACGTCGGTGTCGCAGTGTCTCGTGCGCAGCGCCAACGTTCTGTTTGTGATGAGGCGGGAAATGGCGCCCGAACAGTCGGCTCATCCGTGACTCGTTAGCCGCTGAGCGACGGACGCAGCTGGCTGGCGGACGACCACGGCTCCACTACCATCGGGTGGCCGCCACGGTCGCGGGCGACGTTGACAGCGCTTCGGCGGAGTTTTACCGAGCTTCCATTTACCGTCGGTAAGCAGCAAACACGTAAACAAACAAACAAAAAACATTTGTTCCCCGCGAGAGAGTCCAGCCGCTGCTAGCTTAGCGGCTAACGTTAGTCGGCGAAGGGGGCGTAGTCTAATGGCTGAACATAGTTACGGAGCGAACACAATCACTTGTTTATTCGCTTTGTTGCGCAAATAAATTAGCGTTCTGTTCGCATGCCACAAGCATAATTACAGGGGGCGACCTTAGCGGACAGGGGGTGGGGAGGTGAACAACGTTACGGCTCTGCTTCTGCTGCCTTGCTAGCCTCGATGCTAACAGGAACCTGTTAGTCGCTGCTGACAGCATCTGGTTCGTTAGCATTAAATAACAACACTTATAATGGGCCGACTGGTCCGAGTTGTGTCCACATCCACTGGATGTTCTGTCTCCAAACATTAGCCACCAGTGTCAGGTCAGCGTGAGGTTAATTCTGGGCAGCTGCTGGTTGTGAATGCAGCCTGTCCGATGTTACATAACCACAGGCTGCCGTGCAGTTTGCTGTCAGACGTAATTTAACTACAATCTACTAAACACGAGTCCGAACTGAAGCTTCCCGCTGCAGACAGGAAGCAGAACCCGATGTGTGAAGGTCTTTAAACGACCCAAAGCCTTTTTATTCATCAGCTCAGATGAACACTAATTAATTACAACTTCTGGACAACAAGATGTATATTTTGTCATGTAGGAGCGGGAACAGGATGAAGAAAGTGGCGCTAAAACTGTCAAAGCTAGTTTTTTTAATTCATGCAGGTTTTTCAAATTAGTTATTGTCCAGTTCAAGCAGGGAAATAATACACTATTTCTTGAGTTCAGACAGGAAAAAGAACTGAAGACTTGATAACGCATACAGAGACAACATTATTATTATTATTATTATTAGTGTTAATATGATAATTGTTTGGAAATTTCTATCAAAGTCCAAACTGTATGCTGGATACTTTGGAGCGTAATGTAAGCAAAAACAAAATACAGAAGCTGTTTGTCCTTGTAGTTATTTTAGCAACAGCTTTTATCTGTTTAAGGTTGAAAGTCGGGGCAAGGTTATTAAAACTCGTACACAAGTTGTTTTCAGCCTAAATAGATAAATACAGGTGCATCTAAAAAAATGAATATTGTGGAAAAAATTCACTTTTTTTGTCAGTCATTTCAGAAAGTGAAATCGATTCATTAGAGTGAAGTATCTGAAGCCTTTATTTCTTGTAAATCTGCTGATTAAGTGGTGGAATAAGTGTCTCAGAAAATCAGAATATTATAAATAGGTTCAATCTTGTAAACTGGTGTCTCACCCTGATCAGCTGATAACTCTAGTCATGAGCCACAAATGTCTCATTCCTCGAGTCCAGACACTCCTGAACCAGAGATGATGTCAGAAGTGTCTTACCTGCTGAGGAAACAAAGCGCTGGACTGTTGCTCAGTGGTCCAACGTCCTCTTTTCAGATTAAAGTACATTTTTATGTCATTTAGAAATCAGGGTCCCAGAGTTTGGAGGAAGAGGAGAGACACAGAATCCATGTTGTTGAAGTCCAGAGTGAAGTTTCCACAGTCGGGGATGGTTTGGGTCCATGTCCTCTGCTGGTTCTGGTCCACTGGGTTTTCTGAAGTCCACATCAACACATCATCTACCAGGACATTTTAGAAACTTCATGCTTCCTTCTACTGACGAGCTTTATGAAGATGCTGGTTTCATTTTCCTGCAGGACTCAGCACCGGCCCACACTGACAAAGCTACCAAAACCAGTGGAATATTCTAATTATCTGAAACACTGAGTTTAGTTTTTTTTCATTATTTGTAAGATATAATCATCAAAATTACAAGAAAGAAAGGCTTGAAATATTTCACTCTGTGTAATGAATCTATATATAAGGGTTTCACTTTCTGAAATGATTGACAAAAGAATAAACTGAACTTTTTCACGATATTCAAATTTTTTGAGAAGCACCTGTAGTGTGGAACACTGAATCTTCATTTCTCTGACATACAATGAATTAAATATGACTGGTGTTGGCAAAATGAGCTGGAATGAGCACAGGCTGTTCAAAATAAGGAAAATGTTGATTTTTTTTAGCATAACTAAGATTTGATTTGTGTAAAAATCAGTCCATAAAGACACCATCTGTCCTGGGAACCTAACGGAGAATGTATAAAATCTTCCTAATATAGCTTTAGATCGGAGTTTTCTTACTTGTATGTCTTCAGAAATAATCTTTTGTCTTATAATCTCCTTTGAAACGTACCATTTTTCTCTGCTGTAGGACTGGGAAATCCCTTCGTATAATGTTTGGCATCATTGTGAAGCTTGGGATTCCCCTTTTTAAATAAAAGGCTGAAATTCAATTTCCCCAATAGATAAATTAAAATGAGTTTTCAAACCAAGACCATTGTAAACAGAACTAGCTTTTTGGCAGGCCGGGTGATAAATCAGAGAATTTGACAATAGTAACTCAAAATTTGACCATTTCTTCATTGGGACTCATTTTAACCAGCACAACCCTCATGTCATAAAATGTGTTTGAAGTACCACGAGCATCACTGAACTTCACTGTAGGACCAGAGGTGTCGTCCTCCTCACGTGGGAATTGTTTCACCAGATCATATTAGGTGAAGCTTCAGACATAAGTCGGTCACAGTTTTCTTAAATGAAATGTAAACAAGCACAGAGGACTCAATTATTTCAAGCTGCTGAGCTTTAGAAGTCAAAATATATTAAAAAATGTTTTTAGAGTTTAAATATTGCACAAGGTGAGCAGTGTGGGCATTAGACATTGTCTGCATGTTTTTTGTAATGAACACGGAGTCATAACTGGGATGTTGGACCTCAGTTTGTTCCAGTAGTGTTTCACTGGACTTGTTGGTGACTCAAAGTTGTGAGAAAATGGCTTAATTTTCTGTTGCTGTCTCTTTCTCTGTGTTTGCCGTGTGGCCATATTTTGAGCAACTGGATTCCTTGGTTTTGTGCAACTGTCTCGCAAAACTGCATTTTTAGCCATGCACTTTCTTTTTGTTGTCCGCTGCACCTATTTTGTAGCCACCTCTGATCGCTTTGGCAGCTTCCTCCACATTCCTGATTGAATCTGCTGGAGTAAATGTTTGAAATGTAAAATATACAGATTTGAACCAGCAGTTTATCTTCTGTGTGGTTTTAGACGTGGTCCCAGATGTTTCCTGTCACAGGAGAGCTCCGTCAAACAACAGCTTTTGTGTTTTTGAGATGGGTTAGAGGCTCACGGCAACATTCAGACAGGTTGTTTGGATCACGTTCAATACTCAAGCGACAGGATTGTGCACCTCTGTGACACGCGCGAGGAAGATGAGGATCATCAGAAACGTCTCAAGACAATCTTGAGATGCTCGTGCCATGCCATGTGGAGCCCAGAGACTGTCCCAAACTAACAATCTTTATCCAAAGTTAGATTAGGCTCTTTCTCACTCTTCTTTTTTCTTGTTCAGATTTTTCTATGTGACGTTGGAGCATGATGAAGCTGAGAGTGCGTAAAGCTCCTCAGCAGCTGAACAGAGGCCGTCGAACGCACCCGTCCCAGCCCAAACGGAAGCACGGTGAAGTGGAGCCGTCCCCGGTGAGAGGCCGAGGCAGAATGCAGAAGAACGACACTGGCCTGTTCTCCACGATAAAGAAATTCATCCGAGGAAATGCTGTAAAGGTAGACGCTGATGATTTACTGCTGTTCGTTTAAAAGGATTCTGTACACCTGAACCCCTACGAAAGGAAGAACAAAGTTCTTAGCAGCACATTAATCAAATCAAGTGAAACAGTAACTTGAATCTGTTAGGTTGTAGTGTTTTAAAGTACATATTAACAAAATTACTTACATGTACACATTGAAGCAGTGTTATATAAAAAAGAAGGTTTAGACAAAAGTTTTATTTAGGAATAAATCTCTTGATGTGTGTGTGAGCCTGCTAAGCTAACACCTTGAATTTACTTCACTCTATATACGAGCTTTCCTGAGGGAACACAGCTGTTTTTCAGGGATGAAAAAAAAACATAATTTTAATGTTTTACAATATATAATTATATAAAATCTTACCAAATTTTACTTTTAATACCTGTGGATGTCCTCAGTTTTACAAACTAGCGAATGTTTTAAAGAGTAAATAAAAATGATCTCTTCAGAGATCTATAACTTTAGCCTGAGCTCCTTCAGTAACAGAAACTGTCAGTAAATTTTCAGAGTTCATGCTCAATAATCCAGGCATAAAATCCATCAGCGTTAAGTCAGGTCATCTGGACGGTTTCTTTTTTGTTGTTGAGATGTTTCGTTCTTCATTCAAAGGACTTCATCAGTCCAAGGAGCCCCAACAAACTGAGTCCCACAAGCAACACATCCACATAGTGGACCAACCAGTTTGCTGGTGATAAGATGGTTTCTGGGGCCCACCCTCTCCCCCGTCACCTCCTTTGAGGCAGCCATAGCCAAAGTGGTTTCAAAACATCAAAGTTCATGCTCAATAATCCAGGTAGAAGATCCAACAAAGTTCATTCAGGTCATCTGGGCGGTTTCTTTTCAGTAAATTAAATAATTTCACTTAATCATCTTATTCTAAAAGTTGGCAGTTCTTTATTAGAAAGCAGCAAACCATAAGACGTTTTTTAATTTGCAGCAGGTTTGGTGACAACGAGCCACATTGCTCTCTGTGCACGTAGCAATGCATCAGTACAGTTACAGTAAGTCCCAGAAAGTGAGTTGGACGTCCCCGTTTATTTATCGTTAAGGACAGATGGGTGTACAGTATGTGTCAAGGTAGCATCCACGTGTAAACGTTTCGTTGTAAAGAGATCTGGTCTTATTGACTTGACCTGTTGGTAATTTCTCTATCCTGTATTCTTTTCAGTTCCTGGCTTCTGTCTGTTGAAGTTGGCAGCTATAAATATTTTACCTCGCTTACAAATCTGACCTTTCTGTTTTCAATGTGACATTTAAAAACCTTAAGTCTTAGTCTAATAAGAATGTGGTTCGTTATCACGACGTGCTGCTTTGCCACCATTCCTTCCAAACAGAATGGGAAGTTGCAAAGTTTTTTTGTTTTTTTTAACAACAAGATGTGCTTAAAAGGCAAACTATTTATTTACAGTATAAAAATGTAATGTATGTGGACAATGTCTAATTTGAACTTGTTTTTTCAGGCGGAGCAGGACATTCCAGCCAAGAGAAGTCGCACTGATTGTAACTCTGACAATGATCTGATCACTTCAACACCACAGACCAGAGGTCTCTCTAACAAAACTGTCTCCAAAGTTTGCCGGAAAACTCAAAGTAAAGGTACCACAGACCCGCTCACAGCCTGAAGTTGTATACCAGTAATCCTGTGTCGTGGGTGTACAGTGGTCCCTTGTTTATTGCGGGTGTTTGGGACCACGCCCACCGATAAGTGATCGTGATAAGTAAAAAACGTGAAGTAGAGATACAGTAGTCCAAGTTCAGTCCAAGTTCAGTAAACTTTGTCATGACATGTGCCAGGCTGTAATCTCACTCATCACCTGTTACTCCCAATGTCCCTCCTTAAATAAACAATTAAAATTTAAATACTGTTAACAATTTAAATAATCGATCTGTGCAGCATGAATTGATTATTTAAAATGTTACGGTATTTAAATTTAAATTTTAGAGAAGAGAAGTGCAGCAGGACATGAAAGGATGTCACACATCTTTAGCTCTGCAGCACGGAGCAGAAATGTACTTCTTGATCAACTACACTGAAACATCTTAACATAGAAGTTCTAAATAATTTAAAATAACTTTTAACACTTTTATATTTTGTGATTATGATGATTTTTACGATGTGACACACTTTGAATTTCAAGTTGGAAGACAAAAGTCGATGGGTGCATCTGGACAGCAAAGGGTTAACTCTTCACAAAGCTGCAGCAGCAGAAATGTGTGTGTGGCAGAGAAGGAGATCAGCTGATCAGCTGCAGGAGGGAGCTTCCCCCTGCACTTGTGGGCTGCACACATGGTGCATAATAATTTATTTTAAATAAACAACCCATGGCTCATCCATCAGTCAGCCACTTGTGTCATGTCCAGTCTTATTTTGAAAAATCGTGAAATAACAAATCCGGGATAAACGACCCACGAAGTAGCGAGGGACTACTGTACTTAGCTTTTCACTCATGGTGATATACTGTAAGTTGGTCCTTGTAGGTTTTCTTTAGTACTAAGATGTAAAAAGGATCCAAGCTTGTACTTATTGTGGCCTGATGTAAAGTCCTTAGAATTATAAGCCTGTGTACTTTATTTTACCATCAAATGTGTGTAATTCATTTGATAAACAGATGTGTATTTATCTATGTTGCTGTTAAAGAATGTTTACTTGTACTTTGTATAGACACGGCGAGCTGCAACAATAAACCTATAAAGCCCAACGGTAAACTAGAGGCCCCTGTTGACTCTTCAAGTAGCCCTCCACGTACCACGCTACTGGGAACCATCTTCTCTCCAGTCTTCAACTTTTTCTCACCAGCAACTAAAACTGGTAAATTATAAAATATGTTTCATCAAATACACACTTTAGAAACACACCACCTGTTTTCTTGTTCTCTTTTAGGAGGCCCAACATTTAATGTCTTTTTTTCATCAATATAACATTCAAAGGTAATACTAACAGGTTCTGTTTCTCAGTCATCGTATAATTGCTTTAAATGAAATACAAAAAATCTATGAAGTGTTTATTACAATAGTTGAGCTTTGTGTGTGTGTGTGTGGGGGGGGGGGGGGGGTGCCCTCATCTGAGCTGCAAGCTGCTGTTAAAATGTTCTGTTCATTTTCTTTAGTTTGTAAAGTCATCATCATAATAGCAAACACATATTTGTGTTTTAAATTCAGTGTACACGCACTGTCATATAAATAGTACCGTACATGTTTTTCCTTAAATAGGTTGGGTTTTTTTTTGGAAGAACTTTTTTTAGACTCCTTTCTTAAGACGAGATGTATTATGGTATGGTGCCGTCTGTTCGTCCGTCTGTGGACAATTTCCTGTCAGAGCTCAAAATTGAAAACTCTTCAATGTAGAAGTGTCAAACAGCACAGCTGGACGCCTCATAAGTCGGGTATGAGCCCTACAAGTGTCAAAACATGTCCAAAACTAATTTCTGTCAACTGTAAACATGAAAAGTAAAAAAAAAATGTTTTATGTTTATTTTTGTGGTCTGTTTAAAGCCATCTGTTCTAATTACTATTCAGTGATTAAGCTGATGCTGCTTTCAACAAATACCGAGGACCACAGTCATCATTTTAACCAATCAGAGCAGAGCAGGACCTGGCATGCTTTCTGATGTATGGTCACTCACTCACTAGAGGTACCTGTACTGTGAAATTTTTAATGCCATAAATGATCAAATATGAAAAATAAATGGTATTAAATGACTACATGGCATCGTTTCATACCGAGAAAGAGCACCACAAACGCCATCTTTGCTTTGAGGATGTTGATGGAGAAGTACAGAGAGAAACTCCACTGTGTCTTTGTGGATTTAGAAAAAGCATATGACAGAGTGCCGAGGGAGGAGGTGTGGTATTGCATGAGGAAATCAGGAGTGGCAGAGAAGTATGTTAGACTGGTACAGGACATGTGTGAGGACAGCAGGACAGTGGTGAGATGTGATGTAGGCGTGACAGATAGCTTCAAGGTGGAGGTGGGAGTGCATCAAGGATCAGCTCTGAGACCCTTCTTGTTTGCTCTGGTAATGGACCAACTAACAGATGAGGTCAGGCAGGAATCCCCGTGGACTATGATGTTTGCAGATGACATTGTGATCTGTGGTGAGAACAGGGAACAGGTGGAAGAGAACTTGGAGAGGTATGCACTTGAAAGAAGAGGAATGAAAGTCAGCTGTAGTAAGACAGAGTGCATGTGTGTGAATGAGAGGGATGGCGGTGGAACAGTGAGGCTACAAGGAGCAGAGGTCACAAAGGTGCAGGACTTCAAGTACTTGGGATCAACTCCCCAGGAAAATGGGGAATGTGGTGAAAAGAGGTGAAAAAGAGAGTCCAGGCAGGATGGAGTGGATGGAGAAAAGTTTCAGGGGTGATTTGCAACAAAAGGGTGTCAGCAAAGGTTAAAGGAAAAGTTTATAAGACAGTGGTGAGACCAGCTATGTTGTATGATCTGGAGACAGAGACATGGACAAAAAGACAGGATAAAGAACTGGAAGTAGCAGAAATTAAGATGTTGAGGTTCTCCTTAAGGGTGGATAAGATTAGGAATGAGATCATCAGAGGTACAGCACAGGTTGAACAACTGGGAGACAAAGTTAGAGAGGCCAGACTGAAATGGTTTGGGCATGTCCAAAGGAGGGACAGTGGGTATATTGGTAGAAGGATGTTAGAAATACAGCTGCCAGGAAAAAGGCAAAGAGTCACATATGGATGCAGAGATAACATGGAGGTAGTTGGATTGAGGACAGAGGACAGTGAGATGGAGGAGGATGACTCGCTGTGGAGACCCCTGAAGAGAGGAAAACCGAAAGAAGGTTAAATGACTACGTGAGTTGAAATCCTGTAAATATAACTCCTTTGAATGAAATTGTTATTTTAAGGTAAACAAATGTAAAATAAAGTTGTTAAAAATCTCTTCCTTCTAAATGCCATTGATCTTGAGGATCTAAATGGTGCAGGTTCAAGTGTTCTTACAACCTCAGTGTTTCATTAGAGAACTTTATAGAACACAGAATTGTGTACTGATGCAGGGCGTGTACGCAGTATACTCCTCTTTACATGAAAACTTTTGTAAAGTGAGCGATGGGCAGAAATAAGCTCTCAGATGTGTGGTTTTGGGGGTGGATGATGATGCTTATGTAACCTTTAGGTGTGCAAAAAGTTTTGTCACTATATTTTTATTTGTTTTTTATTCCTGCCTCTAGATTCTGGTCAGTGTACACGCACTGTCATATAAATAGTACCGTACATGTTTTTCCTTAAATAGTTTTTTTTTTTTTTTGGAATAACTTTTTTAGACTCCTTTCTTAAGACGAGATGTATTATGGTAGAAACTTCTGGTCTTGACAACATACCTGGTCATGTGCTGGAGGACTGTGCAGTGGAACTTGCAGCGGTCTTCACGGATATCTTTAACATCTCGCTGAGTCAGACCACCTGTTTTTAAAGCCACCACCATCATCCCTGTACCAAAGAAGGCATCGCCCTCTGCCTCAGTGACTATCGTCCGGTGGCATTCACCCCCATCTTGATGAAGTGCTTCGAACGGCTAGTCATGAAGCACATCAACTCTGTCCTTCCTGCCTCCCTGGATCCCTTCCAGTTTGCATATCGGCCAAATCGTTTGACCGACGGCGCCATCTCCTCTGCCCTCCACACAGCCCTCACACATCTGGACACTAAGGACTCTTATGTTAGAATGCTGTTCATTGACTTCAGCTCGGCATTCAACACCATCATCCCCCAACAGCTCATCCTTAAACTGGACAGTCTGGTGCTGACTACCTCATTGTCTAACTGGCTGCTAGACTTCCTGACCGGGAGACCACAGGCAGTACGGGTCGGCAGTAACACATCTAGCACCATCACAGTGAATACAGGGGCCCCCCAAGGATGCGTGCTGAGCCCACTTCTATTCACCCTTCTGACACAAGACTGCACACCATCATACAGCTCCAACTACTTTGTCAAGTTTGCGGATGATACGACTGTGGTGGGTCTCATCAGCAACAATGATGAGACAGACTACAGGAACGAGGTGAGCCGCCTGGCCTTGTGGTGCGGACACAACAATCTCTCTATGAACGTGGATAAGACTAAGGAGATTGTTGTTTCAGGAAGATGCACGTCCAGCATGCTCCTCTGACCATCAATGGTACTACTGTGGAGAGAGTGAGCAGCACCAAGTTTCTGGGAGCGCACGTCTCAGAGGACCTGTCCTGGAGCAGGAACACTGCATCACTGGCGAAGAAGGCTCACCAGCACCTCTACTTTCTCCGCAAGCTGAAAAGAGCTGGAGCTCCAACCCCCATCATGTGCACCTTCTACAGGGGTGCCATAGAAAGTGTCCTGACCAGCTGCATCACGGTGTGGTTTGGTGCATGTACTGCATCCTGCCGCAACACACTCCAGCGCATCATGAGAGCAGCCGAGAAGATCGTCGGCACCTCCTTCCCCTCATTACACGACTTACACAGTACCCGCCTCACTCGGAAAGCCCTCTGCATGGCGGATGATCCCACACACCCACTACACAGCTTCTTCAGCCTGTTGCCATCAGGGAGGAGACTGTGGAGTCTCCAGGCTCAAACTAGCAGACTGAGAGACAGCTCTGTTCATCAGGCAGTCAGGATGCTGAACTCTCTTCCTGCTCTGCCTCCTCTCCCTCTTGTACCGCCTTAACACACAAAACTTTCACACATTTCCACACAACACAAAAACTTTTTAACACTGAACTCTGCATCTATCTATACATTTGCACTACTGTTTACATTTGCACTACTGTTTACATTTGCAC